TTTAAAGTTTGATTCATTCTCTCTCCCAGACACTTGACTCTTTCCTTAGGTAGGTCTGCATTTGCCATTTAAAACAAGTCTTGCAACATTTTTTAGAAACAAAGCAAAATGTTCTGTAAATAAATGAACTATTATGCTCAGTAAACATGCCAGAGGATTTCAAATAAAAACCATGGGGACAGTAGGGGGAGTACAAACTGTCCAAGAAGAAATTAAAAAAAAAATAATGTAAAGCCATAAATCATGTGTGTCTGTGTCATGAGAATCACCCCAAGCAAACAGACTTAAGGTTGTGGGCACAGTGCGATTTGCCACCTAGTTCAAGGGCACAACTGGTAGAGAATGCAAAGGAATGATCTAAACTGGTGAAATTACTGTGAGCACAAGGGGGAAGGGGGAGAGGACCACCTTGTCAGCTCAATTTCTTCCTGTCAAATAAAATACACCCTGGGTATGCCAGCTGAGCAAATTCCTCTTATTCCGTACAACCTTCAGTCAAGGCCCTGCTGAATTAATTCAAGAGGTGCAACCTGGAGAAATCATTTCACGAAATAGAATAATTCAGCTGAGAAGTGCTTCCCAAATTTTCTAGTAGTTATCTTCTGGTCATAAAGTTCTCTGAAAAAAGGATGAAAGCTGTATATTTTCTCCCCAGAAACAGACATCAAAGGTATAAAGGCAAAATTCAAGTTACAGGCACAAGCATTGGAACTTTGTGTCTTGGATTAAATGGTGTTGATCATGTTCATGTTTCTCCTTTTGAAAAATCAGGAGCTGGCCAAATAGCTCAGTGGATTAAAGAACCTGCAAGGAGGGACCAGGGGTTCGATCCCTAGGCCTGTCGTTCTGGCCCCACCCCAGGGCACACTGAGACAGCAATTGAGACTGGGCATGGTGGTGTGCACCTGTAATCCCAGCACGTGGGAGGCTGTAAACAGGTGGATCACTATAAGTCCAATCTAGTGAGACCCTGTAGACTTTTCTCCAAAATACCAAAAAAAAAAAAAAAAAAAAAGAAGAAGAAGAAAAAGAAGAAGAAGAAATCAAAGTAAATATAATTTTAGGGGTTGAGGAGATAGCTCAACAGAATAAGTGCTTGCCTGGCAAGCACGAGGGCCTGAGCTCAATCCTTGCTAAAAAAAAAAAAAAAATCAGTAACTTGGATCCCAGAGAGGTTCAGTAGTTTGTCCAAGGTGACCCAGCAAGGAAACAATAACACAGCTGGCACTCAGACAAGACCTTCTGTGCTTCCACCACACTGCCTGGCCCTGTTGTTCTTCAGCAAAATCCTACACTTATGCATATCCAACAGAACTCAAACACCAAGCATATTGTTTGCAATAGCAGTAAAATGGGTCACAGTATAAACATTTCGCTTCCTTTCTAATATGAACCAAATATAGCAAAAGACAACCAACTGCCCTCTAAGTATCATGGCTTATCCTACTTTGGAACTTGTGTGCAGCTTATTATTTATTTATTTATTTCCAACAGCAGCTGGCAAATAATTAAGGTTATCAACCCTATTTCCACAGGTTTGAGATTCAGTACTTCCACAGTGGTAACCATAAAGCTATCCTTAAATATGTAGCCTAAGATACTGGGATGGAAAGGTTCTCAGTGACATCCTACCAACTCTAGCTTCCAAGCAATTCTTTCAAAAGAAGCATAGATAATTTGACCTGGAAACTCCAGTATATAAACACAAACTCAAGGACGTGATGGGTTTCTGAAGCTGGCTTGAAATCACTCTTCCTGAAAATAGAGCACTGGTAAATGCCACCAGGCGCTTGGTTTCACCTCTCCTGGATTTGTTTTTCCTATTTATTTATAAAATACTTTTTTTGATTGCCTCTAAATTTCCTTTCAGGTCCAGTATCCTAACCCAACCACTATTACCACCTGTATAAACAGCTAAGACTTAGAAGGAACTTATTGTGTCTCAGGCTTTGTTCTATGAACTTGTCAAATTCTCTGTAAGATTAAGTGCAATTAATCTCGCTACAATAAGTGATGAGGAAATTAATGCACAAAAGATTATGTGATATATATATGTGTGTATATATGTGTATATATATATAATATATATTTCTTTTATGTAATCTATACCACAAAAATGGTAAGTGGGAGCAGAGAACCTAAATCCATTTTTTAAACATTACATATGAGCACTGATCATCCCTATGTTATACTATAAAATCTTTTCGATGGTATTTAATTGTGTTACTGTGGTGCTAGACATGCATGCATACTTTTACTTAGAAAACTTACCTCTCAAACTAGGTTATTAATGACCTGAGCTCAGAGATTGCTTTATATTTTTCTATTTCCTCTTCTACAAAATACAGATTTGAATTATGTGGGTCTTTATTGAATTACAAGTGATAGTCTGAGTCCTATTTTTTATTAACTTGACTGGTTTCAAGGGTCTTATTTAGCAATTTTATCCAAGGAAAACATGATAACTTCACTGGAGCAACTCTTGAAATTAATTTTTTTCCCCAGAGTCAATTGCTGGAAGAAGGAAAACATTTTTTCCCCCGTTTAGTGATTTGACATTTGCCCTTGGAGTGAGAGATCCTATTTTATTGCCAGTATTAATCATTATCCTTCTCTGGACATCTACCTTCTTCCTTATCTTATTAAGGCGTCTTGCCATTTCTTATTTATTAACTGGTAATTGACTGGTTGATAATAAGCAGATGGTTAAAGACGAGAATAAAAACCCCACAACGTGCTTACAATACATACTTATGCCACTTAAAAATTTTGACATTTCATAGGAAATGACACTTATTAAGTTATACTCTTCAAACACTTCAAAAATAATGATGCCAACAAGTTACGTTTCATTCTTTTCTTTGCTCTTTTTTTCCCCTTGAGCTTTTCTGGGTAGCGCAGGCTAGCCTCAGACTCTCAACTCTCCAGCCTTAGCCTCATAAGAATTTTTCTTAAATAGTATGTGCATCTCAGCTGTGCTTAGCTTGTAGTCAGATCTATTATCACCTTCCAACTGTGTGTCACTGCCGTCTATCTGAACTTGGCCCCCTAGAGACAGAGACACCGCACGTTCCCCCAGCTGATCCTCCGCCCTACTGATGTAAAAATATTTCCATGAAAGGTGTAACTTCCCAGTGACCTATTTTAAGCACAATTCAGAGCTTTGCATTAACCTGACATCCTTACAGAGCTGCACAATACACACGGACTTGTCCCTAATAAAATGTTAGATTAAATTAAGGTCACGACATATTTCGGAACTAAATTTTAACAGAATAAACCAGCCACAGCAATGGGCCTTAAACACTCTTTTGAAGAGTCATGAAAAGTGTAGACACCCAGAAGCTTTCCCCAGTGTTTTGAATAAATTCCCTGGAGCAAGATTGAGGAATCTGTAACTTTTACTGGACACCATGAGTGACTGCAATGGTCAAAGTGTAGTGCATCATTGTTATTTTCACTCAACAAACATTCAATGAACTCTTCCAGTCAGAAACCCAAAATTTAGAATATAAGCATACATTCTTCCTTGGACCATGAATTAATAAGAAATGAGGAAAAGGCCCACAGTGTATGTTTGCAAAAAAAGTATTTCTTTCTTATTTCCATCCTTAAACTCAGTATCTAGATGGGTTTGCAATAGAAAAAAAAATGTATTGATTTGTTTACCTGTCCTTCAAGCAAAATATGCAAATAGATTTAGCTGCTGTGTCAAAGAATTAATTTTTGTAGTGTTAGTCTCACTAAGCAGTGTCACTAGGGAAATAGGGTTTTAAACATGGACTGTCTGATTGCCTCAAAAATTCTACACAAATTTATCTGTGGGTGGGTGTGCAGGTGTGTGTCAGTGCATTTTTAAAATGCTACACTGAGGCTAAGCCAGTGGTACTTCAACTGCACCCTTTTATGCACCTTTAATAAAACAAGTAAACCAAGAATATTTATTTCTAGAAAAGAATAAAAAATATTTTACAAAATCACATTAGAAACAATACAGTATTTCACTAAACAAAATGATAAGAATTCAACCATCAATGGTTGTAATATTTGTATATAGTTGTCTTCAAACTAGTTGTTCAGCTTACCAGATACAACCATGCAAAACTGGTTTTTAAAAAGTGGTATCAAAAGTAGGGAAGAAACACAGAGCCCTTTCTCCCCCATACACTAACATCTCCACAAGGACTCTTTTCCCTCTGTTCTCCAAACAACCCCTGCTGCGTCTCTCTTTCCAAATCTCTCGTGTTTTCTACTCAATATTCAAACAACAAAGGGCTACTTAATGGGCTATTTTGAGGCAAGAACTCATAAGAATTCTTCTCAAACATTGGTTATCCCCAAATCGCTTCTAGCCGCTCAAATATATATATATATATATGAAAACTCTTCCCTCCAGCATGAGTGTTGGAAAGCGTGTCCTTGGTATCTTTTGCTCTCTCTGGGTTGAATCTTAGAAGTAGCATCAAGGGAAGCAGACAGGAGGCTGGCAATGAGCAAGGACCACCATGAGAATGCCCTTTGATGGGGGAGGAAGGCCAATGGGGTGAAGAGTCAGGTGAGTTTGCCCCACATTCAGGCAGTAAGCCGCCCTCCAGCTACCCCAGAGTCTCTACACTGATAGAAACAGCGGGTGTCCTGCTGCTAAGCTGGGCGAAGAAGAGCAGGAATGCAGGTGAAGGAGAGACAAACACACTAAGGAGTCCTCTCCAAGTGGGCATGAGAACATCAGCACACAGTGACCCCTTCCCCTGCCTGTGACAGAGCTGACAAGACCAGCAAAGGAACTGTCAATGCCAATGTCATGGTGTGCAATGGACCAGTTTCATCAATAAATCTTCCCAGACCTCAAGTATCTCCCTATGTGATCCCTAGGGATTCCTCAGAGTCACTCACCAATCCCCTTCCTCACCTTAGAAAATATGAATCTGAGACAAGGAAATCCTAAATCTTTCATCGACAAGCATAAGAGTCATAGCTACTGACTGGCGTTTTTTACTTACCAATTTTGTGATGTCTTTTACGTTATCAGTCACAGGATTCCCGCAGATCTCTTTAGTCTTCACGAGAGGATTAAATAGGAGCAGTTGAAGATAAATGCAGGTGATAATCCAAGTCTAAACAGAAACAGAAAAATTTCTTGGTGCCCATCAGTTACAATCTGTAATCATGCAAACCATTAACAACTTATGCCCTCATGTGGAAAAGGCCAATCTACCATAGTAAAAAGCAAAAAGTATTGAAGACAGTTAAATACTAAGCATTCATACTGTTCTCACCAAAATAAAAAGAAATCCCAGCTAGCCTTGTTGGAATTATTCTTTCAATGACATTATTGTTCACTTTTGTTAAATGCTTTCTCCACCCAATTTCCTAAGGCAATTAGGAATAAACTTGTAGCAACATGGGAAGGATTTATCACTTCTAGTGACTTCTAAAAACTAGAGAATGCAGAAAATTCATACCTTTAGGCACCAAAAGAAACTTTCTTTTGCTATTTTAAATGTAGACTATTTGGCAAGTAGCAGCATAAGCTTTGAACAATGTTTTAATCCAATCATCAACAACAGCTCACCAAGCTAAAAAGAGGGATGTGTATTTTTAGATCTAAGACAAAATTTAACCTAATTTCTGAGACAACAAAAGAATTGTGTGTAATCTTTTTACCCACTTAATGAGGAAATATTTTTCCTTAGTTAGTGGGAAGATATTTTTAAACTATAGCAGAAAGTAATCAGATACACGCACACACACACACACACACACACACACACACACATCTATGTGAAAAGGGCACTTTCTATCATGTATTACAGTTATTTTATGCATCACTTATTTTTCTATATTATACTCTACTGTGGAGTTTCATACATTTGGGTATGGGATTTTTTTCAGTTATCCTTATAACTCATAACATAGTGCCTTGCATATTAATAAATTAATATATATTTGCTGCATGAACCAGTAGCCAAACAGAAATGTATTTCAATGCACTAATTCAATAGCCACTTATTATTGAACATGTATCACAAGACAGGGACCCTGCTGGTCAGTAAGGAAGCTGAGATGATAAAGATGCCCTTGAAACTGGGAGGCAGGTAAATAAATAGTGCTCGCACCCTGTGATAAATGTTTTGGGAACACAGAAGAGAAAGCAATTAATCAATTAATCCCAAGGGGAGAACCTGGGGCAGGAAAGCAGCACCATAAGCAGTCAGAGAGAAAATGTGTCTCTGGCTACACCTGGCTTTTCGACAGAAGACGATCAAGCCAGGAAAGATCAATAGTATAAACAAAGGCATGAAGATGTGGAGATACTTTAAAATCTGTAAGATTTCTTTTACAGTCTGTAGCATTTAAAAATTACACAAAAGCCCAGACACACATGGAAATCTGACATGACAGCCATATGTTCAAAGAACTGAGTTATCAGTTTCAATTATTATCTGCACACTAACTAGATATTACACTGGATCAAATGAATAATTATCACTTGGTAAAATTTCTAGCAGTATGATGCTGCCTATTTAGATACAGTAGCTTACAAACAAAACTATAAACACTTCTTATAACTCTACTATTGTAACCTCTTTTTTTTAAAGCAGGTGTCATGCCTAACTTTATTTAAGGGTGCTGTGACCACTGTGGGGTCACATTGCTTAGTTACCATCCCCCTAGATCACCATGAAGACCAATATGTATAATTGATTAGTTTGGGGAGTCTCTCTTTTTGAGAAATCATAATATATAAAAGTTCCTCTAGAAACATAGTTGTTGGGCTGACTAGATAGCTCAGAGACTGGGATTTGATCTCCTGCACCACATGCTGTGCTAGCCCCACCCCCTGGCATGCTGAACCAGCCGAGACAGAGTATAGTGGTGCTCACCTGTAATCCTAGTGCTGAGGAGGCTAAAAACAGGAGGATCACTACAAGTCTGACCTGCATAGTGAGGCCTTGTACTAAATACATTTAAAAAAAAAAAGTTGTCACATGTGTAAATATTTATAAAGCCCAAAGCTTTTTTATGTTAAAATGCAACTCCTCTTAAATACATTTATTTATTTCTCCAAGGCTGTCTCTCCTTATGTGATTTGAGAAGCCTCAAACTGGCCAATCTCTCTAAGAATAAAATTCATATTCCAGTAGCGAGGAAATGTGAAGGCAGAAAGTGTTACTAATGGCTGGAACTAGATGAATATTTTTTATTAATTTTATTGAGAAACAAATAACAATGAGACAGCTTCTAAAAAGGTTAGTAGGACCATTACAATAATTAATACATTGCATATTGTTGCCTTCGTAGTGGTTCTTCATCATACAAGATGCAAACACTATGAGTACACATCTTTCTCATTGAATTGAGAAAGTAGCTATATATCTATCCTATTTTGTATATACAGATAAAAAATAGTCCTTCATTTATATGCCCTTTTTTTGTTTAGTTTTGTCAGAGATGGGCATTCCATTTCCATCCACATATTGTAGGGGTGTGAATTCAGCAAAATAATCCAATATAGTCCAGTAGTCCATAACAGTAGTGGGTTTTCCCGGAGGACTGGCAATGTCAGAAGTTGTTGAGTTGAGCCTTTTACAACTCAGCATACTAATATGGCCTTACTTTTATACCTCATTTTTATACTTTTCTGCTGGATGGTTAAGACCAAGATAAAGCAAGACCTATATAACAAGAAATGTAACTTTTGTATCTGCCAAGGTCAATCAAATCCCCTCAAGATTTATCCTGAAATCCTGTACTGCAGTTTATAGATCCTTTGTCAGTGTCAGCCATGTGGATGAGTCATGGCCATTGCTTGACCAATTTGCTCTCTGTGAAAGCCTGAGAGAATGGTTTCTCTCCATGTGACTCTCCTTAGGCACACTCTACATCATCGATCACTTTCCTCTGTTGCCTCATAATCTCCTTGTTCAGAAACTTCTGGACACCATTGAGTTACAGGATCTTGCAGTGCAGGTTCTCTTATGTCCTGAGTCCTCACTGACTTTGAATGGCTAGGGTCAAAATGTTGGCTCTCCTTGTAGATGAATATTTTTAAACAACTCTTCATTCATTCATTCATTCATTCATTCATTCATTCATTCATTCACTCAACCAAATATGTACTGAACACTAGAGTACGCCAGGCACAGTGCTAAATGTAGCAGATGTATAATGAACAAAGGGAGTTGCAATGACAGTGAATACTCTGATCTATCAGCAACAGTGACTTTAGGATCACACTGAGAGTCACCCTCACAAGCCACCAAAACCATTACCCCGTGGCACACCTCCTGTGCTGTGCATTGCTCTACTGCACTTCACAGATTCTGCAGTTTTATGGACTGAAGCTTTGTTTGTGTTGACCGAGACCATTGGTGCCATTTTTAATAGCTCAGAGGACCATTGGCATTTGTAGGTTTAGGGAATTTTTAATGAAGTACATACACTGCCTCTTAGACAAGCTGCTATAGCACACTTGACAGATGAAAGTAGGATGGCAGCAACTTTTATATAAAGCAGGAAACAAAATGTTTGTGTGACTCACTTTATTGCCATATTTGTTTTATTGTGGTGGTCTGGAGCTGAACCCACACTGTCCCCAAAGTATGCCTGTAGCGAGGTTTAAGTAATGACTCAGGACAGGCAGCAAAAGAGGAGGTACAGCATCAGAAGACAGATGTCTCCTGATTTCCTGGCTGCTCTAGTGTCCGCAAATCATTGCACATCTGGGACGCACATGCTGATGACAGAGGGCGCTGGGGTGAATATGCCTCTGTTTTGCTAGCGAAGGTGTCCTTCTTGCATATTTAGTGAGTTTCCCTTCAGTTTTCCACACAGCTTACCTCCGCCAGAGCCAGTGTCAACAATAAAACACAGATAGCCGCTTGCTTTCCTTCCTAGTAATTTCAGCAGGGTATTATTACACTAAGTAGGTTTGTACACAGTTTTTTTATTATTTTTTTATTTTTTGTACACCTTTCTTGAGCTTTGCTACAAGCAGGATTATATGGAAGATCAAATCTCCACGTATCCCCCCGAATCTAAAGAAAAGGCCACGGAGCAGGCTTTTTACTCGCTTCCTTCTTTAGCCTGCAGAATGTGTCAAAAACAGCTTGAAATGTTTAATAAGGTGACTGGCAGGTGCCTCCTTGAGAAATCGTATTTTGCCAAAGATTGGATAGAACTCTGAAGTCCTCCATGCAGAGAGCTGTGGGAGATGCACTGCAGAGAGAGAACAAATCAGAGCCAGTGCCCTCACATGTGTTTCAGGATCATTTCTATCAAAGTAACATGGAGAAAAGCCAGTCTGAAATGAGTTTAGGAAAGTACAAGGGAAAAAGCAGCCAGAAACAGTGAACATAACCAACTTTGTGAAGTGACTTATTTCAAAGATGAGCATGCAAATGAGCGCATGCATAAAACAAAGTGGGGAGATAGCTGAGGAGGAAGTGAGGGTGGGGTGAGGGTGAGGAGGGTTTTATTTGTGAGGTGACAGACCTTCTAGGACATCTGTACCCAGCTGGTGGCACAGGTTGGAAGACAGGGAACTGTGGAAAGAAGGCCTTGAAGAGACAAGGAGGAGAAGAATGGAGCTCACAGCACAGAGGGCCCGGCTTTCAACTGACAAGTACACAGTCCACAATACTGCAGAGCAGAATATCGGAATGGAAAGGCAGATGCTACAAGAGTTTTGCTTGTTTTAAACAATACAATAATAAAGCTAAAATTTTAGCATTATTGTAACTAATAACAAAATTTAGCTTTCATATATCCTCTTTTAAAAGTGAAGAAATTGGGATGGGGAGATATTTCGGTGGTCTAGGTGCCTGCCTGGCAAGCACAGGACCTGAGTCCAATCCCCGGTACCACATGCCATGCTGGCCCTGGAATCCTGGGCATGGTAGAACATGCCTGTAATCCTAGCACTGAGGAGGCTAAGACAAGAGGATGACTATGACTTCAAGCTGCATAGTGAGGCCCAAATAAATAAATAAATAAATACATAAAATGTTTTTTTTTTAAGATAAAGAAGTTGAGTTACAGGGAGTTAGTAAAATCAGGAATATAAACTCAAGTCCACCCAATGGCAATTACTGCCCTTTTATTTACCTCATTT